GGATAACAGTAAGCAGTGTCCACAATAAACAGCAATAATAAGGTATTTTTGAAAAAGAAAACAAGCTTTCTCTACACAAAGTCAGCAGCTGAAATACAGGAGGTGAAGGAAGAATGGTTTTCCCAAATTAAAAAGATACAGTTAGAACTTTATTTCCTGAACCACTGATAATTAGCCCCAGCAAACGATGTCCTTGAGCGGCGCCGGTAGAGCGGCAGGGCCGGGGCTGAGTTGATGCGGTGGCGCCGCTCGGTGCCTACGGTGGCTGGGGGACGCCGAGCTGCGTTTGGCGTGCGTCGGACACGGCACACGGGCACAAACCGCTCACCCGCCGCCTGGGCTTCTTCAGCAGGGGGAACTGAAGTTCAAATTATTTGCAGAAGAAACTTCTGTCGGGGATGGCTAAAAGGATCTTCAGAAGTCAACCCACATTAGTAAATGCTTTTGACTTCATTTTTTCGAAAATTCGAAAAAGGCAGGACTTTTCCTTTGGAAATATTTCTGTTCAGAAAATTGTCAAAAATAATTTCTGAAAAGGGATTTAAAACCTGAAAATAAAACTACCCATTTCAGTTGCCATACGGGGGTTTTGTCCCCCAGTTTTTTTCAGCTCAGTCGGTGAACTGCAGAAGCAATCATTCGCACGACTCTGCTGGCAAATAACTCCTATCATCATAATTCCGGGGGGAATCATTCTGCGACAAGGAGCCCATATTGTTTGGGATTTGGAGGTTCAGAGATTGAGGCTAGCACGATCAGCAAGGAGAAGTGTTCCCGTCAGCTCCTCGCTTTTCTCTTTCACATGATGGCCTGCAGTCAGGACGGAAAATGAAGGAGAAAAAGGGAAGAAGAGAAACAAGAAAGGATCTGTATATTTTACAGTGGAGTGGGAGCATCTGTTCCAGTCATCAGAAGCAGCCGATTCCCAATTATTTTAGGTGGAGCCGTGAGGCCTCAGCATTTTTAAAATCAACCCGAATGAAATGTGAGAAAACACCAGAACAAAACCACTTCTGAAATACTCGGTCAGCGGCGTTTGCTCTGCGCGGTGCGTTGTGCGCCCTCGGCACTGACAGCTCCTTCAGGAACACCCGGGGACGCGCT